TGTAATTCTGCTTTAGTTGCAAAGCAACAAAAGCAAAAAGAGAGAAAGGCAGATTGAATTATGAATGTCATTGTTACATGGGTTTCCTTTTGTGTTTCTAGGTGATTTGTAATGAGTAAAAATCGATGATTATCGATTATCTGTGACGAACCAATTCTAACTAAATATTAGCATATGTAACTAGATAAGCTTAGGGGTGAATTTAAAAAAAATAAAAAATTCAACTACCCATAACGTATTTTTCATTTATATCATCATATTGTACATGCATTCTAGTTAAAATTCCTGGAGTTGCAATAGAATAGACAACTGGATAAAAAGTTTCAGAATTATTATATTTAAAACTTTATTTGAAAAAAGAAAATATCACTTAATCCTTAAAGACTTTCTAAAATATATAATTAAAAGAAATTATTGTTTTTAATGCTTCAAAATGGTATCAGGGATATACATGATTTGATCTAAACCTTGAATGAGTTTCTTCTCTTGTATTTGTGGAAAAAAATTGGCTTTTTGATTGTTATTTTACACTATTTTTTCAATTCTGGTTTGAAAAGTTTTAATATGAGAGGAATATGAAACAATAAAATTCCCCCTAAATCATTTTTTTGTCCATTTAAGTCAGTTCTTTAAATTCAAGCCAAAAGAATTTTGACATACAAGTTTTCTTATAAAAAATACTGGATTTTGAAATGACTCTATGTTACATTATTGTGTTGCACTCTTGACATCTGATATATATTTTATTTAACATTGTTTTAAAAATTATAACACACAATAACCCATTCTTATTTTGTAAATCAGTTCATCGTTTTGATATTTTTTTATCATTTAAGGCAAGTTTTTCACATTTTCAAGACTTTAAAACATGATTATTTGCAATGTGTAATAATTATACATTGTATTTAAAAATATGTGTTAAGTGATGAAAACTATTCTCTGAATAGGCTGTAAAATGTCTGTAATTAGTTGATAGACATAATGTTTTGAAAATCAAATAGTATCAAACTTTTTTTTCCTATTTATTTTTTAATAAAAGATAGATAAAGGTCATCGATAATTGTAAAACAGTTTTGTTGCACTCCTGACTGCAGTAAAATCAAAAATTAAAACCACAGAACACAAAAATTCATAAAGTGTTGGCAACATCAAGTGGTAACGAAATTCTGCAATATTTATAGTCCAATACTTCATAATTATACCAAAACACATGAAAGTATTTAAACTTGGCTTTATATCTTGAATTAATCCCTATTTATGTCAAACAAACCAGCTAAAATATATATTAAGAGATAAAATATATTTTATACTATATTTTCCTTCACAGAACAAACACTGTCAGCAACTGGGGTCAACCAGAACATTCTGCTCATCATTTGTTTCTTTATTATATTTATTCATATTTGATAGCAATAATCCTAACATATTTGTTGCACTCCTGACGAAGAGCATTGGAGTCTTTAAAGTAGAATTGTGAAGCAAAAATTATATCAGAACTTGTTCTGTTGTTTCAGTAAAGTTGAGGTGGAATTACTTGAACTTTATAACAATTTTTCAATGTGTTTATTTTTTACATTCTTAAAAAAAATCAAAGAAAATATATAAACACATCTGAGTTGACAAAATTGAAAAAAAGAAGGATTTTAATAATAAAACTGTCAATAATTTAGTACTAAATTATTTAAATAGATCATTATTAATTAAAGAATATTTCTTAGCATGAGTAGAAGTCTTTTCATCATATAACTTGAATCTTTAAAAAAAAATGAGTTGCACTCCTAACCATAGAAATATAGATATGAAACACAGACATACCCTGTAATTGATAAATCTATGTGGTAAAATGTTCTTTGTGTCTTTATTTTCCAAAATAAAAATCAAAGAATCATATACTGATAATTTTTTTTTTCATGCTGGGGAACAAAACATCAAATGTTGCACTCCTGACATTATTGGGTATGCACAGATACTTGAATCTCATTAATGCTTCTTGTGATTTATATAATATTTTAAAGTTTTAAACTGTACATCAGTTATTGTTTTACACTTTAAAAATTCTTCCTTTTTTGACTTAATAGTCTTTCAGATTTTTAAAATTGATGTTTTTGGCAACACTACATTTTTCTGTTGCACTCCTGACATGGTGTACTTTATTTTCAACACCAGCCATGGCCACTTCTTGGTCAAACAAAAGTTGCTGCAGTCTTCATATAAAACTCAATACTTTTAATATTATCAGGAAAGTCTTTATTTCCACCATAAAGCATTATAATTTATTTCAAAGATCTTCAATTATATCGCAGCTATGTTAAGGCTTCCCGAAGCTTTAAAATGCGCTCAAAACATAATATGTCATTGCGACGTCGGTTTTGGTTTTAATTTTTAAGTATTGAACTTCAGTACTTTCAATTTATATGAAGGGTTTCCTCGGCTATATATTAACATATTATTTATGATATCACATGACTTTGTTGATCACGTGACGGTCATTTATAATTTTTTGAAGTTTTTCATATAAATCGCTTCGGCGCAGATGATTAACACGATAGTTATTGACATTTTGTTATATAAATAAACTCATCATATCCTTGTGTATCCGAAATGTGCTTGGGAAAAGTCATGGTATTACTTGGGTACAAAATATTTCCTGAGAATTTCAACTTACCTGCAAATTTGAGGGTATTTTCCACACAATATCGTAATCTGTATTAAAACAAAGCCAACACACATTTTTCCAAAGCAAGATTCAGTTAGAGAACAACCTCTTCTTACAGATTTCCACAAAAATTCTCAAATTAATCCTCATTAATCACCTGCGCCAGACTCTTTTATACACACAAAATAAATTCTACCTCCAACCACGGGTATAAAACAGAGTACATTTCAAAAGTATATTTTTCATAAGCATTTTCAACATGCTGAATTTCAATAAAGGGTAGGTTAGCGGTGTATTTTTAAAATATTCGGACAAATAAGACTTAGAAAAGCTTTAACGACCCGTGAATTTTGCAAAAGCTATCTAGCATTTTACATGCAGTTTGAAATAAAGTGTAAAGTTCATGACACTCTCCCCGTCATAACATCTCAAGATTGTAGTGACTTGACGTCATTTTCCATTATGACGTCATATTTTAGTAGTTCAGAGATGTGAAGGCACAGAGTGCACTGTGATATTCTACGGGAAGCCTTAACCTACCTGCAAGAAATATTGAATTGCACTCCTGACATTTTTAGCATCATTTTTGAACATAACTTTTTTGTGAATTGAGATTTCAATGAGATATTTGGCAGGTATTTAGACACTATCTAAAGACATCTGCTGAGACAGAGAAATTTATTCCCATTGTCTGTCCTTTAATGCAGGTTGATAAAATATGAGTTTGGTCATTTTTTTTTTAATTCACCCTCAGATATTTTGCATGCATGTCACTATTCTGAATATCCATTGTTTTATTATTTTTAATGTAATAATTTCTCCAAGAGTCATACAAACTTTCTATAATGCCTAATTTTAATGTTAAATTGTAAAGGATTTTCATTCAAGTGAGGGAAGAAAAGTATAAGATTTATCCAAAAAGTTACTTTAGCTCCTGTTCTATCTGTCCACTAAAGTTTTGTTTGCAAAATCTCTAGTTATCACTGTCTAAATTTGAAAAGTGTATTGGTTGTTCTATATATGCAAATAAATAAACTTCTAAAGTAGACAGTCAAGTTTAACATATTTAAGTATTTTTTGTCAATATGGTTTAAATGACTTAGATTGTATAGTATGTAAATGTCACCTTCTGTGTTAAATGTAAATTAAAAGTTCAAATGTAAATGATTTAAAAATTAAAATGTTAAATTTCTGATGTAAACGTAAACAGTTACAAGGATCAATCTATCTTCATTTATTTTATTGATAAACTTAAAAAATATATATAAATGTGTAATATGGTATACCAACGTTGCCATGTAGTTAGTTACTAAAGTAAAGTATGGCCAACCTTTGATATAATGTAGTGTTAGGTAATGTACACTGTTGAGTAATGAAGATATTTCATCGGTTAAAAGATATGTTTATATAGGCAACTATTTTATATCTTGATAAAAAAAATTTTGATTTTGACTTTTGATTAATGTTTCTGTTTTATATTTATAGCACAAACATTAAATGTCTCATTAAAAGCGTTTACAACCTTTTGCACAACAAAAGCATTCAATTTCCAAACTATAAACAGAATATATTGTGCTTTTTAGTAAAAATATGGAAAATGAAACAGGGAATGGAAGTATTATAAATTAGTCTGATCACTGATATCTGTTTTTCTTACTTTAAATTCAAGTTCTCATTATAATCTGTCACCATTTGCGAAAGGCATTGTGATTACATAATTGATTCTGGTTAATATTTTTATTTGTTCAGCTAAGTATTATGATTAAAGTTTTTAAAACAGTTATTTAAGTACTTACAAACTGAAGTAAGAAGAATATTGAGAATTTAATTATGCTGTTAAAATGTGCTATTTTGAAAAAATTTATGTAATTTGAACCTTTTGGATCATTTTGAATGAAACAAAGTATTAAATTGTTTCAGAAGAAAGACTTCAGTGCAATCATATATATCGTATTATATATAAGGAATCAATATTGTACAGGACGACAATAATGTAATTCTGCTTCAACCAAAGCTTAAGAATAGTTCTTCCATTGCAAAAATGATCAACAGTAGTTTATAATAAACGTACTTTTTTCTGACATTGAAATAGTTAATTACAATTTTGCAACAATAATTTCCGACTTCAAAGTTGCAGCTCATATTGCTTGGAGTAATCATCCCCCTTTCATATTTTGAAAGGGTGAGGCAAGGCTTCTCAAACATTAAACTGAATTAGATTTCAAAATTTTAATTCTATATTCATGTTATAATTTTGATCAAATTGTAAACTTTTCATGAACAAATAATGAAGGTTGGTTAAAAAAAATGTTCCAAAACAATCAAAATTATTAATTTGCAAGTTTTATGCTTCAGATGCGTCTTCTTTTTGTCCTTTTGTCTTTTTTCTCCATTTTGACGAAAGTCCAACTACTGACATGGAAACTAAACGAAAAGTAAAAAAAAAAATAATTCGATTACTGATTGATTTCCTATATACCCTGCTTTCCATATTAATTTTGCTACTCTAATACATATACAGCAATTTTCTTTCGTAATTTAATTCTTCTGAACCTTTTTCGAATTTAAAAAATATTTGTTTGTAGTTGTCTTACTTTTTCCCTTTCCTATCAAATAAGCTAATTGAGAATTGCATGGTTTTCAGTAGGTAAAATATAAAGAACGAGTGCACTTATGGGCCCCGGTAAAATGTGAAAAAATGAAAAATCAAATTAAGCATAATTTTTCATCTCAGATCATTAATTGATATCTAAACCATAAGATTCAACAAATTTTATCGGTGAAATTCATGAATATACAAAGAGCAAAGCCATACAATGTGGTAGGGGTCAGCCGACATTCGTGATTTTCTATTGTAAATCGAGGACGGTCATTCATTTCAAAGCTTTTGTTTACTGTCAGCCTAACGTTGTACAAACTTGTGCGAACGACAAGAAGCGCATTATACATTTATAAAACTTGTGTGAAAGTAGGACATTTGTACAAGATTAGGCTTGTACTTAAAATACTAAAAATGTATGAAAAGTTCAATGTTTTTCCAATAGCAAACAAGAGCTATTTACCTGTATGACCTTTGTTGAACCCATCCGTGGAATAAATTATTTAAAATACCGGTAGTCACGTGAGTTCTACCCAGGTAAATATTTCCACTGTAAAAGATAGCCACGTTTTGTATCATTATATCGAAGACGTGCCGCATAGAGAAGTTTGGATGTATTTGGTTTTATGAACAAGGGAGGGTTAGGAGAGTTTAGTGTCGTTAAGAAATCAGCATACATAAAAGCGTCAATTGAAACATTTTTAACATTCATGCAAGACAATGGTACCGGTAATGAAAGCCACCTATATACACTTTTTTTCATTTAAGACTTAAAGGAATTAATGTTAATACTTATTGTATTATTTCAAATGCAAGCGTGCAAATTTCTTAGTTTGATCACTATGGCTACAGGCATCTATACAACTTCGATTTTTTTTTCTCAGGTAAAATAGCGCAAGATTATCATTCGGAAAACGCGTCTGTCAATGATCCACCATCAGATTGTTCAAGTGTCCGATTTAAATGTCTCCTCCCCTTGATTTAAATAAACGAAACTCAAAATAGGTTCGGTACGACTTTTCCGGATTTAAGGTATCTATAGGCATTTAAAAATCTTCATTTGTTTCAAATCCATGCTGATTTAGGTGATGTTTTAACGTGATTTTAATTAGAAATATCCACTTGTGTTTAACTATTACCAAAAAAGAACAATTTGGTAATATCTTCTGAAGTCAAACGGCACTGAAAAAGGGCCCATTAAGCAGTGCTTAAGTGCACTTGTCCTTAAACCATTTATTTTCTTAACATTTCACTTTATCTTTATCCCTTTGTCATTTCCTACCTTTTTCCTTCTCCTTTTTTCTTTTTGGTTTCTCTGAAACAAATTTCAGTAACACTGGTTTAAAAGAGATGCAGAGGCTAAGTTTTAAATAATAGATAGTATATGTATCTGAAAGCGTAATTTTATCTTTTAAAAATTACTTTTCTTATAAACTAATTGAAAACAGCTTTGACGATGATCTGATTTTAGTTTGTGTACAACTCCGTTTTCTTAGTTTTCACTTGACAAAATCTTTCATTTATATACAATAAAATGGTATAGTAGGTATTTGAACTTTACCTTTCTTTTTTGATGTGCTCTCTTCTTGTATCAGTTCTTTCCATAACTGTGCAATGTGAGTAGATTTATTATCTGACATTAGTCTAGAGAACAACAATTCTCGGTTCTTTTCCCTCATTAGATCAACAATTTGTGGAAGAAAATTCACAACCAAAATAATGATTCCGTTCAATGGAAGAGTCACCGACATGAACGCTCTGAAGAGCACGTGATCGTTACTCAACAAACGAACAATGGTCGTGGCGATGGTAAAGAGGGAAAAGCAAGTTGCCGACAGCAAAACTTGCTTCACCTCTTTTCGTCCTGTCTTTCTGCACTTGTAGATGACAGATAATGTCATACAGAGGAACAATATGATCCAGAAGAAAGTCATGAAAATTGCATATTCTGTTCTAAAACAATTACATAAAGAATTATTAAAGAAATCCTTTATATCAAGATCGTTAAAGAGAAATTTGCTCTGTTTATCTCAAAACATTAAGAAAAAAATGCAAAGGTGCTAATAGATCTACAAATTATAATACCGATTGAAATCACAACGCCAGGTAATAGATATGTCGTCGATATTTGAGATTTCAAACAGGGTTGGCACGGACCAAGTCATTGTCACAGGATCGCTCACATTCCAAACAACGAAAACAATAATAGGTGCAGACATAACTATTGGAAGATAAGTGAGAGCGAAGTCCCATTTTGGAAGTTTGGTGATGTTTGTCCCGATGATCGCATGAAGACAGGCAGTTTTGTTCAGTTTGATCAGTAGGCCAGTGAGAGTGATACTATAAACGCTTCCTACATTTCAAAGTCCATTATTTTTTTCAAAAATATCAACATTTACTATTTTAAAAAAATCATTAACTTTTCAAATAAAAATATTTATCAGTCTATTTTTTAAATTAGTTTTTTATTATTTAATTTGCAGGAAAATGTTTAATAAACACCATAATTCAATTGGTTGATAATTATTCATTTTGAATAGGATAAGAAACCATATTTTTGCCTACTTGAACGAATTATTGCTCATATCTTTCACAAATGAAATGAATGTAAATATTCTTTGTTAATATTAAATAAAATTTTGATTTTACACTCACCAGGCAGAGCGAGATGAACGCCACATGCTAATGGCGAACCATCAAACAGATACACTGCGGCTCCGAGAATTTGTATCGTTGTTCCAAGGATTATACAAGCATGTCCATCAGCAGAAAGACTAAATATTTTATGAGAGGAAAATTTAGCCAGGTAATAAGTACACACAACTGCTACTCCAACACCAATTATTATAAGAAAAATCGTAGTAAGCCCAACTCCACTTTCAAAACTGTTCACTGTTGCAGGAGGAAGACCGGAAAGGTGTTTGACTCTGTCGTGGTAGTTGGACACAAAGTTTGGGTCTAGACAGGCCGAACACTGATCATTAGGACATTCTGATTTGAAGATTCTGCGAGCACCATTCAAGTTGTACATACTCAATTTTCGTAAGTCTAGAGTTATCTCCTTATTCTGAATACTTCCAATCTAAAGAAAAATATTAATTATTTACTGCTTTAATTTTTGTCAAATTGTCAAATGAATCTAAATATAGCATTCAGCTTTATATTTTGAAAGATAGAGATTTATTTGAGCACTAAACTTGTTCATACGCACTATAAACTATATACCATACATGTTCATGAAATTTTGTATCAACAGCCATTAATAATACACCAAATACCAACTTCAGTTTGAATGATGACAATGCATACATACTGTAACCAGTCTGGGATTTCCTTTAGGCCCATACTGATAGTTAAGGATTGCCATGGGTACTGACGCATTTCTATTCTCGAAAGCGAACTTTGTTCCACCATCGGGTATAACATTTACATGATCTAGCTCGTGTTCAAGTTGCTGATACATATCAGAGGAATTCCTGTGTACACAACTGACTAAATCTGAACTGTTACAATGTTTCGTCAGAAAGTTTTGGAAAGACGCAGATAATGCATATATTCCATTGATTGTAGAAACTACATATGGTGACTGTTTCATGTTAACTGTCTTCAGCATCAAATCCATTGTACAGTCTTTGTTATATCTATTGGAAAATCGTAAATTGCATTTGTGAACATCTTCCCAAAATCTTTTTCCCCATGGTAGTTGTTCAGACCAATCTCCCTCTTCAATGTTAAGGCTTTGGAAGTACGATTTAAACTGTGTGTTTTCTGTCATGTTGTTCTGAAGAATAACCAATCCTACAATAATTTGACAAGATATTACATCCATTTATAACCGTCAACATTTTTTTAATCAGGATGAAATGATAATTTTCAAAAGTGTCACGTTTTAAAGGGGAAAAATACAATTTGCTTGACAAAAACTTTAGACTCCCATTGAAAATCTTGTTAATTAAGAATACCACCCAGAAGAAAGTAATTCTAGTACATGTATACAATATTATGCATCTTCAGATGTATGAAAATTAGCTACCTAATTAAAGATCATGCATTAAATGAGCTGGTTTATTCTATTTTTCATTCGAAAATTGAGGACCAACAAAAATCATGCAGTACATGTATCACTAGTATGTGACAATATAGAAATCTTAATCAAGATGCAAGAAAGACAGATAAAGCTTCATGCTGGCTACATAATAAATGTATTCTGTAACATTTACCCATTGAAGGTTTACTGTATTTGGCAAGGATTCTCTCTACATTCTCAACAGGCTTTGGAATGATAAAAACAAGCCTTCCAAAAGTATTTTTCTCATGTGCTACTTTTAGTAACATTTCAATGGCAACATTTGGAATGAAGACCATGACAACAGTTGCACCATTGTATTGCAACATTTTATCAACAGCCTTGGATAGCTCATTTTCCTGATCTGACATTTTTATTGTATGCTTGGAAGCTAGGCAAATGTTTAAAGGTGAAGCCTCCATTTCCAAAAGATCTAACAAAGACTGATCACGATCACCAAATAGAGCGTGAAAATAGGTCCAGCCAAGCCTCTTTGCAAATTCCATGGCAATGTACACGTCGGAGGATGATGACATAGCGGTTCTGAAAACTCGCGGGAATCTATTTCTATCGTTGAATTGTTCTGTCGTTGCTGATATTATCTTCCAAAAAAAGAAAGCTAATTTAATTTATTTGCATGTAAATATCATTGCTTATTTATCAATGCTACAAAAAATATTTATTTTGTGTTTAACTTCTCTTTTTTAGGCAGAAATGCCTGAAAATATTGTAAATTACTAGTAATTCAATACAGGGACACCGTGAAATGGTTGGAATTTTCTTTACATTTTTTAAAGTATTTCAGAAGTATTTGAATTTTCTTTCGAAAGGATATTTTGGATTGCTTTTAGTATTTCCTGCTTGAAATTTTACCTTTGATCATCTTTTTAACAAAATTACCTAATAGAATTTTTACTTACCATTGGGAAGTCTTGCGACAGGGAATCTCTTGCATTGCTCAATGCCGAGGCCACAGGGTTTGTAAGAGCTCCGACAAATCCCAGTATAGGTTTAGTGAAAGGAGAAGATGGAAGCTTAGGTACAACAAATGATGGTATAGCAACACTCTTTGCTATCGTAGAATCATGGCCACATACTCCAAATATTCCTAATCCTATTCGAGGATTGTTCTTTGGCTGTTTCTTATTTATGGTTTGAATGCTCCATAAAACTGAAGACGCAACTTCAAAATGGTCTAGAATGAGGGTATTTGAACATGTACCATTGCTCATTTCAAACAATTCTAGAAAGGCATAAATCATAACGTCACCTGGAATGAACGTATACAGCATTTCAGCCATGCCTACTCTTAGAGAATAACAATCTCTCCCGTTACAGGGCTGGAGATTGTTTTGTAACATTGACTTTGGTATTTTCAATGTGTCATTATTTATCATAGTTTTGCCTTCCAGCCACATTCCGATCTACAAACAGAAGTTAAATTTAAATAACAATTATGCATTCAAATCTTTCTACAAATGACAAATGCAAGAGACTTAAATTCAGGACGTGAAATATACATATTGTCTTTGGATGTAAGAATTAAGAAAAAAGTAAATGAAACCTTTTCGTATGTGTGAATTTTAAGCGCTGGATTGATCTGCATGATATAAAAAATATTCTTTCCATCCCCTTTGCTATCAAAATATATTTGGTCGCCGTTGATGTCTTTAACGTGCAACTTTTGAGCAATTTCTGCCAATTTGTCTTTGTTCAAATTAGCTTCGTTACAGTAATCAAGCAAAGGACAGAAGGTTCTTATTAATGCATCTAATCCATTTGCAAGGACAAAAATAGCATCTATGATGTGTGTTTCTCCATGAAGATCAATTTCTTCAATGATATTTTGAAAATTCACAGCGTCTTTGCATTGGGCTTTCCAAGGCTGATTCGCTTCAAAAGTGCAGTTATCTATTTTTTCTACCAGCTGCCTGATGAACAGGTTATTTTCCAATACATCCTGTTTCCTGCTTAGATACTTAAGAAACTTTTCCGAAATTTTTGTTTCAAATGTTATAAGAATTGCATTGCTTGCTACTTCAATGTTCTTTCTAAAGAAGCTTTCCTCAATACCTGCTATCCACGTATCGCATCCAATCCAGAAAACTTGGTTGAACTTTGAATCAGTAAGTCGCTGTAAAATAGCTTTCATGTGATTGCTTTGGGTAAGTGAAACTACAGCTTGAACATCATTATTATTTCCAATAATAAATCTTTCCACAAGATAGTTTAGAACATCAGAATTTCTCATATACGATTCTTCCATTCTCATCAAATACACCACTCTGATTCCCTTTTCCTCTGCAAATTGCAATACGCTCTTCGTGAGATCTGCTCCAAATGCATCGTTGGTGTAAACAATGCCGATAGTATGAATGGAAAGATATTCCAAGACTCCAATTATCGCCAATGTTTCTTCTTTATTAGAAGGAACCATACGCATGAAATATGGATACAGTATCTTGTCAGAAAACACAGAACTAGTTGCACTGATACTTATGGTAGGTATTTCCTTTGAAGAAAGATATCCTGCCAAATGTTCGACCTCGGAGCTAAATGGAAATCCCACTCCACCAATGTAGGTTTTTCTCGTTAAAGTTGTATTTCTTAGTCCTCTCGAATTCAGAATGTACATTTGATGAATGAATCTGGAAGGTACCGTACATGTATCAATGATATCGTATCCTAACTTCAAATTTGGTAAGATGTTTGTCATATTGTTAACATACTCAATTGCAAATATGAGGGCCTCAGTTAACAAAATGTAATTATCTCGCAATTCGCCACACCCCTCGGGAGTGTATGAAGGATAATGGAGAGGTAAAGATCCAATTATTTGAATATCCGTTTCAGTTGGTGATGTAAGTCTTTGGAATTTTACAAATGAACGACAAATGTATGCGAACGCCTCACTCCAAGAAACTGCATTGCTTTTTAAGATTAGATTATTTTTGTCGTATAATTTCATTGGATTCATCGTTAGGTATTTGCCATTATCCATCTTTCCAACCTATACACAAATATATAAAACGTACAAATATATATCTAAATTGTTCAAATTATCCATTGTATATTCGATGACGATAAGACATATTTAGCGAATTTAGAGTTACATCTTGACATTGTGTAAGATACAGAAGTAGTTTCAGGAAGTGTTTTGTTTAAATTTCTTGTGATGATCATTTTAACGCTTCTCAAGACTGGTTAGAAAACAACTTAAGGCCATTAGATAGAGTTACCTGAACAAATCTAGCCATTGCGATATTCCTGTTATTTAAAAGCTGATCTATCTGAACATTGTAAACACTGATTTCTTCTTCTTTCAATCTCATTTCAAAAATCCATCTCGACTGTAAACAAGCATCATCTTCCTCTTTGCTCTGGTAATCACAAGCACTGCTGTTGACATTGCTTAAAGCGTCCATAAGGAATACTGTTGTAACTCTGACTTCCTCCATAATATTTGTAATTGATAGGTTGCCATATAGAAAACTCTCTGAAATAAGATTCGCTGAATGGAAAGAACCAAGGTAATGAACCATAATTTGTTGGGCAAATAAAAATATTACAATCCTAGCAACGACTAAAAAGATTTCTTGGATTCCTGTTGAACTTTTTTATTTGTTTTACCTGTTGCATTTGTGTTTTGTTTTGCCTTTGATCGCGGAATAAAGACCCAACCTGAAAGCATAAAAATTACAAATCAAAAGCCATTGAGTAAGGATAGTATGAAACTGCGTCATATCGTAACAACAGGAAAAGGAACATAAAGTGTGTTTTTTTTTAAATATAAAATAAAAGCATTTTTTTCAAATACAAATTGAAGATTGTCGTATATAATATAAACAAGCTGAAGTATAAGAGAAGAAAAATACCTGGAATTGATTCTAAGGATGGTTTAATTTTTCCTGAATCTTCAACTAAAGCAACGAAGTAAAATTGTTCAAGATCTTTATTTGCTGTCCAGATCTGTACGATACTTCTTCAAAAACAAATTTTATGATATTAAGTTAGAATAAAATTAACTTGGCCAACAACCTGGGAGACTGTTTGATTTAGGTTAGAGTTTTTATCAAATATATTTCAAAAAACTATCTCTGTTCTTAAAAACCAAATCTTACTGTAAAACTGAATCGTCTGTCAATATTAATATTCCTTTCGTATTAGTTTCATATTGAAGTGACGCCAGCAAAAGTTCGATTTCCCTCTCTGAAGTTGAATTCACTTCAAATGTCCGTATTGCACATATGTATGGGGAGTCACGTGATTGCTTAAACGTATTAAGAATATCGAAGTAGTAAGGTGTAGGCTGCAAAACGACTTGGATGTATGGCCATTCAAGCACTTCTAGGACTTTGTATATGAAGTTACCCAGCGTTTCTGTTGTGTATTGTGTAGAAATAATAGTATTATTTCTGAAAAGATAAACATGGTGATAGGGAGATCAATGATGATAAAAAAAAAGGTCAGATTTTTACATTCATTAAACATAAAGTTAAAGCTGTTATGTGTAAAATTTTCTTTCACAAGATACGTGTACATGTATTTTGTAGGGCAGGGACGATACAACTTTTTCTATATCGATACGTATCACGATAACTGAGCCACGATACGATATGTATCACGATATGTTGAATTGGTTATAAAATCTTTTTTTTCTATTGAAATGAACAAAAAATTTCTTCACAAATAAGAATAATTTATTCAAAGAAGTTTTACATCTGTTGTAAAACAAATTTATTTTTACACAAGTGGTGTTAATTATTATGTATTTCATATTTATATTTATATTTAGCATATTTATTTTATATATTAAACAAAGATATTTTTGTGATATTTCGATATTTCTTCATACGTATCGATATGCGTATCGTCTTCACAAAAAAATCGATATCTCGATATATCGTCCCAGCCCTAGTATTTTGTGTGACTTATGTGATATACTACATACCTTTTTCCTTCGAACCCATCATATGTATTCGAAATTATTGGGATATTTGATGTTATTGACAATGTAGAGAAATTTGTTGTTTCGTTCTCTGAGATAAAAACTAAAATCAAAAAAAAATTGTTATAAAACTCAGCAGAACATCATACAGTTGCTCAAATCTGAAAGAAAGATAGTTGAATTTAATATACATGTATTACTAGTACTTCCTTGGATTTTATTATAAAAAAGTAATTATATAATGTCTGTACTTCAATACTCAGTGATGTTTAAATTTCATATTTTGCTGATATCCCACTCATTTGCACACGGCTACCGGTATTCATTATAAAAACACTTTATGCTCCAAGTGTTAGCAAGTTCACATCAAATTTAAATGTTAAAATATAAACCAAAAGTGTCATTTAGAAATATTTCCAAATTATAAATCAATATTCCTCTATCACATGTAGATCAAAATACATTATATACAACTCAATGGCGGTAAGAAATTTAATTTTTAAGTTAATTTCACGATTTTTATTTTGATTGCGAAATGCAAAAAGGTGCACTGACACAACTCTGTACTTGAATCAAATTGTTAGTCACATTTAACTTACCAATTAAATCCGTGTAATTTGAAATATCCTCATCCAAATTATGAAAAGCACAAAAAGTTACTATACCATGGTCTAATTGCAACTGTTTTAATGAAGTGGATGTTTCATTAACAAAAACTGATATGGATTTCGATATACTGTCTATTTCCGACGAGTTCATGTCACAGAATATATGAGATTCCACAATGTATGTTATCATCACTGCATGAGAGGAGTATATAATCAGAATAAATATCCAGAGACTTTGTGACATTTTATTTCCCATTATTGCAACCTGAGAATAACCCAATTTTACGTGACAAATGTAGGAACATTCATGACAGAAAATAAAATCCCTTTTCAAAACAGACAACAAAACAACGATTTTTAAATCGTGGGTGAAAAATGACCTCAGATGAATACATGAACTCGTTTAAGGTACATTGGACATTTAAATGGTTACAAGGGATATTCAGTCGGCTGTTTTCGAAAGTTGTATTACAGAATAAAACGCCAAGTCCCTTAATCTGGGATGGAATGATCAAGTAACAAAAGACCCAAGGGCCACATCGCTCACCTGAGCACATTGTTGACTATGCATTGTCGCTCACTCATCATATTACATGTACAGTGCATACGTTTTTAACAATAGCTCATCCAACAGAGGTCCAGACAAGTTTCTATATATACCGATGTCTTATAGTTAGACTTCCCCCGGATGATTGGCTATATATAGTGAGACTCCCCCCCCCCCCCCCCGGGAGACTGGCTAAATAGTGAGACCCCCCTATTGGGGGCTATATAGTGAGACTTCACCCGAGGAAGTCTCACTATAAAGCCAGTCTTCCGGGAAGAAGTCTCACTATAGAGCTAGTCCTCCCCCTTCATAGCGAGACCCCCCCACCCCCCCCCCTCAAATACAGTTTCCGGAGTTTTTTTCATTTTAAGGTGTGTAACTCGTCAGCTTTTTAGAAAAGTTCAGTCAGATCCATTAACTTCAAAACTATTTATTACAATTCAAGTTTCATAACACATTTAAATTAAACGTTGCAAATTATTCAGCATTCAATTTAAAAACTGCTCATAAATTCATAAAGAAGCAAGATTTATGAGGGTCTATTTTTTGTGGTGGAAGGATATTTAGAAGAAAATTCTTCAAATCTACATTTGTTAAATTTAATATATTGGAACTTTAGCCCCACATATTTTAACTTAGAGAATATTTTCCGTTATGATGTGCTAGGTATATTAAATATAGGTCTCAATTTATATTTTTAGAACAAATTTTACACATTCACTCAACAGATTTTGCCAAGAATTGAAGATATATTAAAGAAGTCAAGATAAAATTTACACCGTTTTTTGCCTGAAAATCGCACATTTTGACCAATATCTCAAAATTTACATCACTGACCCCAACTTTTTCTTTCATTATTTTTAACAACCTGATACTTCCAACCGATCAGCACTTAAGTCACAAAAAGTTTGATACAAGAAAATATTTTATTGCCTACTTAGATTTTTTATACCTCAAATGTGATACTTTTTTAGTGCAAAAAGGTCACACAATAATTAATGCGCATTAATTTGCATGAATTGTTCAATGATAAATATTATTCAAACTATTTTACGTAAAATAGGATTATATTTATTGCCATAATTACATCTGATAAAATATGATAAAAATAAAAGTGATTAACCAAAGAGTTACAATTTAAGTGCAAAAAGGTCAACTTAATTGTACCGTAGCTCAGTAAGATGCACACTGATCCCGCATTTTCTTTGTGATTTTGAGTCATGCTATATGAGGACTTATCTAAAATATACTTCTCAAAAAATCCTTGATATAACTAATTTCACGAGTGACATACCTTAAACCAATTGTTTATAAACTAATGTTTTCGGTGTTTGAATAAAAGTTCTCCTTCATATAAATTAATGATTAAAACATGTTAATAGCGTTTCAATATTTGTTAGCCATAAATAATTTTTGGATTACATGTATTGATAAGTAAGATAATTAAAAGAAAAGGGTACGTATACATACATTATTGTTATCTTTACTAATATTTGTTAGTGCAGTGTTAGTACACGATATTTATACGGTCTATTTTTTTATTACATAAAAACAGGTGATAGTCAGTGCGTCGTGAAATATTTTGGGAAGCAGGGAACACATTAACAATTTTAAATTTGCTTTGTTTTGGTAGCAGAGATTCTCTGTATTTATTCCATTTCGCTTGTTAAGTTTTCGTGTGACGTCACAGTTGTTTTCCCGAAATGGAAATTATAAACATGCAGCGTTTTCATCACGGTTTACACCTTGCTCAGTGATGTTCAGTGTAATATTGAGGTAAGCTTTAGACACCTTTCAATATTGCAACAGTTAATTATGAAAATCAAGAACTTCAGTTCAGTCGTAAATTTTAAAATATTGATTGACAGAAAGTTTTTTGTCGTTGAAACTGTCTTGAGAAGTGCATAATTTATCAAATTGAATCCAAAGTTGAAAAATAAAAAAAATGCTTTAAGAATCTTAAAATCAATTCATATTCTGAAATATTTGAAGAGATACATGTCCTCATACATATTTTTATTTTGCTTAAAAATTTCCTATTTTAGACCCAATAATGTAAACTAAAAAAGTATAAGCCACTGTGACTTACTTTCTGAATTTAATGTAAACTAAAACAGTAAGTTACTGTGACCTAGTTTCTGAATTTGACGGCTTATCATTTTAAAATCTTTTAACCTATATATTTATAGCACATTTTAGGAAGAATCGCCAAACTTAAATTGTTGATGCATCTTTGGGCTCAGGGATTTGTCAATTCAAAAATAAGGTCACAGTGACTTACTTGTTAAAATATTATCATATTCAATCCATTGTCAAATATTTAAGTCAAGATACTAGGTGGTTAAGATTATCAATCCTTGTCAGTTGATGTGCATTAGGTCCTTGACATATGTTGACACAAATGTCAGTGACAGTCACCTACTGATATGAATTTATTTATTCTTGTCAAATCTTTTTAGGTTGAACTCAAAGAGGACAAGGATCACTCTCTGTACAACTTATTCTCTGTACAACTTATACATCTTTAGGCCTCGAAATATATTGACCCCAAAGTAGACCACAGTGGCCAACTTTCTGAACTTTACATCTTTTTAATTCCAAACTGTTTTAGAATCATATATTTGTGTAGCCTATGATCATCAGAACTTTTCGTTTGAAACAACTTATATTATAACAGGGTGTGTCAAATAAAATAATTTAAGGTCACAGTGACCCACTTTCTAAATCTTATTTCCATTCCTTTTCCAAACATTATAGCGAAATGTCTTGGATGCTAACATGCTGAGAACTTTGTTATTTGATTTATGTTGTGGCTTTAAATTAGGTCACTGGCTTTACTCTCTGTTTTAAGTCTTGACATTCAAATAATTTTTGTACCTATATGTTTTAATACTATGACACACCGAGTCACCAAACGTAGAAAACTGATGCACCTTGGGCACAAAGATTTGTCAGTCTAGTAAAAGTAAGTCAAAGAGATCTACATTTTAAATTTATCATGTGATATCAACTCTTTTTAGCTTGGATCATCAAATCCTTTCAACTGAAATGACATGCCTCAGGATATGTTGATCCAAAAGTAAATGCTAGCCCCATGGTTTCTTGTTTTTGTTGTGTGTTTGTGTGTGTGTGTGTGTGTGTGTTTCAATTTTCAGTCTAATTTTGAAAGAATTCATTATTGAACAAGACTGATATTACACTTACATGTAATATCAGACAAATATGGATGTACATGTATGATAACCAAAGATAATTCTTTAGACTGCATGAAAAAGTAATTATGTCACGGCAATGTTTAATTCGAACTACGGGGGGGGGGGGATTAAACCTAGATCAAGAGCAGTGTTGTATCATTTCTTAGTAGTTTTTAATAATAGGGGTCACTCTTGAAAGAGAAGTAATTTTTCATTTGTTACCACATTTTCCACTTTTCACACGACCTTAACTAACAAGCATGATATATATTCAAATGTAAAAATGTAAATTAAAGATAATATATATATATATATATATATATATATATATATATATATATATATGAATTAGTATGCCATCATAGCTAATTGATCTGGGAAATTAAAATGAAGTGCGGACGAATCCGTTGAATATACTAAATTGTCCCTGAATATGATCATGTGACGATATGAACTGAGCAAGTTGTCAGTAATGGGTTTTGCCTACCCACTAATCGCCTAGAGGAGATAACTGCTACATAGATAACTGGCCATCAAATGTGCAGTGTCGTGCCACGACTTATCTCATTATCAATGATTCATATTCTGAAAGAATTCAACATATATTGAAATGTAATTTCATGTTTACATCAGTTTTGCTTTTTTTTATTTTTCTCATAAATATATAGCAAGTGGTTTAGTATAAGGCAATAGTAGGAACTACAGTAACTCCATGAGAACTGCATTAATTGTTCTACTACGGGACACCTACATCCCAGGATGATTTCTCAACAAGATTCTTTGCACTCCAATCTAAAACGAGATGGCCAACTGCTTTTAAAGGAAGTATTGATGAACCAAATAGAAAAGAGTTTATTACATTAATAACGTTTTGCTTTTTCATTTCAACACCAATTATATCTCGATTCAATTTTCTTTAATAAAACTATATACGTAGGGAATTCTTGCTATTTCATTTCCAAGGCTTATAGAATGAATCCTCTGTGAATTCATATTTTTGCAGTTTAGAATATAAATTAATTACCGATAACTCTGTACATGCATGTGCTAGACTGTTTCATCTTGTATAGTATTTATTCATGAACAACATATATAATTGTTTTGATTTGGTTATTTTAAAAACCTGTCAACAATATTAACACTATTTTATTTTAATTCCTAAGTAATTTTTATATAATCAATAAAAACGATATAAAATAAATCTTCTTAAAGGGATTTCCCAACGATGTGTCATGGTTTATGTTTAGCAATGGAAACTATTTCCTAATACAATGTGATTTTAATTTTTTTTTTTTTAATCCAACTTAATCAGTGCAAGGTAAAAGCCAGAAAACATCCAAGGTCGTAGAAAGAGGTATAGCAAAATTAAAAAAAAAATTGTTCCGTTTAGATCAATAAGAATTTCTATACAAAGACAAGAACAGAATTATTGATCGTAACAGTCTGAATTATGTTGTGTTTATCTGGGTAGTTGTACAACTGTATGTACAAGAAGTAAAACGTAGAACGGAAACT